TATGTGTGTGTATGTATGTTTGCATGTATTTGTATTGGTATATTTTTCTATATATATATATATGTGTGTGTGTGTGTGTGTGTGTGTGTATGTGTGTGTATGTATATGTATTTGCATATATGCCTGCGTGATTGTGTTTCTCTTTGTATTTGTGGAACGCATTACTTTTTAATTGTGCAAACGTATATATGTGTGTATTCATATATATATATATATATATATATGTATATTATATACCCATATATATGACATACGGAAAAAAAGCATAATAGGGATTTAATTGTCTACTGACACTGTGTTTCATCTTTCACCACAGACGTGAATTCGTAGGCCTCATCCTTTCCGAAAGCTCACCAGTCGCCTACAAATTGCTGTGCGAGATGACCGCCAAGACCGTGCGTTTGGATTGGCCAACAGATTGTCCCGAACTTCTCTCTCAGCTTATACAAGGTGTTACCGACCCCAACACCGTGGTCGCCTCTAGCGCTCATTTCGAGCATGTGCGCAGTCAAACACACACACAGGTATATCGCGTCTTCTTCCCTTTCACGTGTTTTTACCAGTTTCATCAGGCATGATGCTGCATTCTCATACTCCTGGTGACATACTCGTTGTATGTATGCAATCGTTGCATAGTTAGTCTCGTCTCCTGACTTATGTTCGTCCGTCGTGTGCTCCTGTTTTCAGGCTCAGCTGGTACAGCTGGTTGGCGATGTACGACTGCGAGCACTGAAGTTGATGGGCAGCTGCGTTAAGGTCATGGCATCCAAAGTAGTGAACAAACGACAGGTATGAATGGGCTTGTAGATACATACCATGTAAACAGAACTTTGCAAGCGAAAAGGGATATATATGTGCGCATGTGTGAGAGTATGACATGACATTTGTGTGGGCTGTATGATGAGCGTATAAATACACATACACCGGCACAACTAGGCAATTGGTTGGCTACAATGGTAGTGCGCCTCGAGGATTTGTACACTGCAGTTTGGAAAGCTTTGGTCTGTTTTTGTTTCTCACGAGTGTTGTGGATGTGTGTGCATACGACGCTTTACTCGTAGCTATCGTATACAAAGTTCCCACATAAAGACTCGTCAAGTCAAATTCATCTCACACAGTCGCCGACAATCTCTTTCGAATGCTCCATTTACTCATACTTGAACCGGCAACTGGCACTGAAGCACTACCTTCAGTGTGTATGTCATTATGTACGTACCAAACCCCACACACTCCCAACACCGCGCACACAACAGTTCAGAGAGATCAGTGGACAGCTCTTCATGGGCGTCTACGGAATTTGGCTGGAGAAGTACCGAACTCCCCCACAGGGCGATGCAAGTGGAATTGTGGAGTGGTGTGGCGTAGAGGCGCGCACATGCCTGAAGCTGATGCGCAAGTTGCTATTGCACGGGTTTGGCGACATTAAAAAGGTGCCCGATTCAGCCGTTGTCATGGCAACGATATTGGAGGCCACCGCCACTTGCGAGCAACGAGCGCGCCAAACCGTCTCGACCAATCAAATATCCGCTGGGGGTGCGAGAGGATGCGACAATGCACACAACACAGCCAGACTTTTAATGAAGATACTAGTGACAGCCCAGGCACAGCATCCCTTTGGCTACATACCATATATAGCGCACACTTGTAATTTGGCGGTCAATCGTATACTCGAGGGTAGAGAGAATAATGATGGCCGAGTGAAGTATGTCCCAGGTGAGGGCGAGCGTGTGGTCACCAGTGACGACTATCTGCTGCTGTGCTTGACGCTGGTGAAGAACTGCCTCTGTGAGGTGGAGTATCAGGTGTGCCTTGTGGTGGACTGTTCCTTCTTATCTTATATTGGGCTATTTGTGTTTTAATCCTGTGTTAACCTTCTTCTTTTTTTCTTCTGAGCTTCAATGTTCCCCATAAATGATGTGTGCGTTTAAATTGCCCTAAGATGCATGCTTAGCCATAGTTTTTGAAACCATAGCTATATACTATCCGGGTCCGAAAAGTATTGCGCGATGTGACATCTCTCATCTGCAGCTTTGCGCCGGACACTTCTAGGTTCTGTCAAAATCAGTATCCCAATCAAATCCCTCGCTCTCCATCTGCCCATCACCACAGGATGAGGAATCGACAGACGCACAAGCAGCCAAGCGAGAAGTCAGTTCGGTCCTAACCAACCAGATGGTCGATGCGCTGGTGCGCGTGTTAGTGGGACAGTACTTTCTGCTCACAACGGCCGATCTAGATGAGTGGAGAGATAGCCCCGAGGCGTTCGCAATGGATGCCGCAGATCTAACGCTCCTCGAGGTATCCTATCCTATCCTATCCCTATCCTATCCTCCCCTACCCTATCCTATCCTATACTACCCTATCCTTTTCTATCCTATCCTATGCTATGGATGGATTTGAAAATGATATCTGTGTATGATGGGGCCGAGGGCTCATCAAACATTGTGCGTTTGCAGTATGTGTCCCTCGGCGGTGCTAAACCGAAGTCTCTTAACGCTATTGCATACGGAGTGTTTTGCCAGTCTCTGCGGTCTGTGGGAAGTGCTCGTAGCAACTACGGCTATTTGATGTATTTGGGATCTGCAGGGTCTGCTATGATGTGCCTATGGTGTTGTGTGTTTGTACCAAGCGAGTGTGTAGTCAGCGTGTTCCGCCGTGACGGGCCATTCAAACTTTCTGCATACACGTGGTTGAGACAGCCTCCAGATAAGTTCCCAAATATAGGCTATATACAGCCCTGTGTTTGCCTGATTTGACCTGTAACCGGGATTAGTCGATGTTAGTCTTTGTTACACATGCATATACACGTAGGCTTGTTCTGCGTCACGCAGTTCTGTGATTAAGTTAAGCGGCCCGTTTGCTATCCGATCTTCGGTAGATCAGCGAGTATCTGCCGATCTCACCACTCATCCCACTGATTTCCACCTAGTTAACTAATACTACACTGCTCAATACACCATCTCATTAATAATGTTGTAATGGACAATTATCCAGGTACGGCCTTGCGCCGAGGCTCTGTTCGGTGAGCTGGTCTGTCGGATGAAACAGGCGGCGCTACCAGCAGTTACCAACATGATAATGACCATATTTGGTAATTCCGGCGCGGCACCCTGCGATCCCAGTGACCTTCAATCCGTACTAATCAGGTAAACAGACTTCGTTTCCAATTTTTGGGGCTTTGCTATGCCTAATATATTATGCCATTTTACATGACTATCTACTTCATCCCCATATCTGATTATGGGCAATAGTCAAATATCTCTTGGGATAGGGGCTCGTCTATCTGTCGCACATTCGGTATTCATTTCAGTACAAATGACATCTCCACCCACAGAGACGCGGTGTACAATGCGATTGGCATGGCCTCCTACGACATCCACGACACCTTCGACTTCAAATCCTTCCTCGTCAGCACAGTTCTGCCGGATCTCAAGGTGCACTCGAGCACCCTCGCAGCCACACACCCAGCCACAGACACAGCCGCACGCACGCACTCGCCAGCCCAAACACCGTCGTGTAACTACTACTCGATTATCAGAAGGAGGGTGGCGTGGCTGCTCATGCAGTGGTCGGATGCGTGTGTGTTCACGGAGGAGGAGATGCAGTTTCTCTACGTGGTCGTGCTGACACTACATGCGGGACCCAATGGAGCGGGTATGAGGGCTGGAGTTGGGGATGTGTGTATGATGGGTATGGGTGGTAGTCATCCGGCTTGGTGCATATAGTTTAGCTGAGTATATTCACATACACATTGGTATACACACTAACGATTTTTTGAAGTCGTGTGTTTAGCTACCACGAACAATGAGTACATGCACATCATGAACGCACACCCACACGTCTAACATCATCTATGTAAGCACTCCGACGCAATACATACATAATTATACAATATATTATCCTGTATACTCCCTAGTATACACACCTGCTCAAATACACAGCACATGCGTGTGGCTTCAGACACAGAACCCAGATGTATGCATTTGTCATATTCCCTTGCACTTCGACCTATATATATATATATATATATAATATACATATATATAAATATGTATATATATATATAAATATACATATATATAAATAATGGATATATATATATATATATATATGTATGTTTATATGTATGTATATATGTATGTATGTATGTATGTATGAATGAATGGATGTATCTATGTACCTATGTATCTATGTATCTATATTATATATATATAGATGTAGATATAGATATAGATCCATATACTCATTTATTTGTAGTTACTCAAGTGTATTCAGATTCATGTGGCATGTGTCCCCGTATTACGCCCTCAGTTACAAGGTATATGCATACGCATATATGTATACCCGACTGACCTCATTAAATGCAAATGAATGCAGACCTAATGATCTATATCCATATATATATATATATATATATATGTGTGTGTGTGTGTGTGTGTGTGTATGTATGTAGATATATATATATATATTATATATATATATATATATATATTATTATTATTTATTTATTATATATATTATTATTATTATAT